GTAATTGCAGCCTGAGCGCAGGTGCAAATCGTGCTTTCGCAGTATGCATTCTGGAAATAGCCTCTTTCAGAGAATGAATAGGTGCAAAAAGCTAACGTGATGAAGTTTTTTTTTGCAATTCTCGCCGGGCATGATTCTTGTCTCGGCAGAGATTGAACCGCGGCCCTCACAGGTGCGGACAAGAGCGTGTCCACCAGTAAGCACTCGGCTATTCCAGCCTTATAATATTTACGATGTCGTTCGTAGGGTATAACGACTCGACTGTCCCACGCTGGAGATGCGCCATGCATTGGTCTGTTGGAAATTAGCATTTTAGTGTGAAACGGCTTCCAAAAGGATGAGGTCACGCCATGCAACAATATCCCTTGCAGAAATTATTGCTTACTCATGATTCATCCAGTAGAATATAACTGAGATGTGAATTATATGCATATGGCGTCTCAATTACTGTAAACATGCGAATACTCACTACTTCGTTTGCAAAAAGAATCCTAAATAAGGGAATTTCAAAAACTCTCACCTAGAAATAACCGCACTGGAGCCATGAATATTCGAAAAAACGAGTTGAATAGCATTCCAAAGCACATAGTATTCATTAGAATCCTAAATCAGTATTTGATTCAAAAAATTGAAGTACTAGGTAAGCCAAAAATGCAATTCTTCAACTTGTTGAACATTGGAAAAAACGTATTCATGCGCTTCTTCTGTGGAAGGAGGATTTCACAATAAAGTCGGAGGTTGAAGAAGGAGAAATATGTCAAGTCGGAAGGAAATCGCGCCCTCTAAGAGCGACGATGCGCGTTCAGCATCAGTGTGCCCGAGCCCTAGCAGCTCCACACCCGCGCCGTGGCACGCCCACCCTCTCGCCGTCTGACTCTAGCCGTTTAGCAGAGAGAGCGTTAGCGTTGAAGAGGGCAGCACCGATGAGAGTCGCATCAATGCGGAAATCAACGGGCAGGAAGGGTCCCATTTCTCGGGTTTGGGCCGTTTCTCATGTAATTTTTTCTTTATCCCGCACCGCTGACCATGTCTACCCTGTTTCAATGGACTGCCCTCCCATTTACCGCCGTCTTTAATCTGGATTAATCTCCTCCCACTAGTAAAGTGGTAGACCGGATATCGCCACTGTTAATTAAACTCCAAAGTTGTTAACTGAAATCCTAGGCCTGTCGTCAACGACAGTTTTTGGCACATCATAGCTTTTGACAATGGGGCAACACGATTCTTCTGAGAAGAAGTCAATCTTGGGAGACTCGTGCTTACCACAATCGCCTTGCTTAGACTGCATGGCTTTTCCAGAATGAAAATCGGCTACCTTTGTAACAACTCAAATCTTAAAGCGAGAGATTACGATAAAGTGCGTATGCAGCGTGGAAGTACATGCACCATTGGAAGCAGTAGTCAGGGGCCCAAGGAAACGAAATGTTGCGTTTTTGTGGTCAAAGGTGCGCTAGTTGCAGCGTACAAGGCTTGCCATTCCTTTCTGAGCCCCGCCACGGTCTGTGCTCCGCCCCCAGCAGCAGCGCCCTTCGATTGCCAATGTGACGAGATATTCCACTTCCAGAGTGTATCCTATAACTTTTCATGGGATGCGTGATCAATCAAAGCATGAT